CCCCCCGGTACTTGCTGAGTCAAGTCAGTCTGTCTATTCTTTCTGCATTGAGTCTCTTTTGTTTTAGGTGATAGCACTCTGTGGATGAAGGATAGGGCTTGGATGACGAAACCCTAGTCTGACCTTGTAGGGCTAAGCCTGTGGCTGATCCAACTTTCCAAGGGGGCATAACCCTCCCAAGGACCGATACTGACCGGCTGGAAACGGTTGGTGGGACTCAGTGGGCCTGAACGGCTGTTAGGGCTGACACACCAGACAGTCTTTAAGTGTTGAGGGCCTGTTTGAACCACTCACCTACCGGACCAAGTAAGGCTGAGGATCTGTGTCTGACGACTCGACTGTCCCGGGGGATACGAACCCTCCCAAGGACCGGTACAGACCGGCGGACTGCTCGGTGTGGCACAGTAAGCCAGTGTAGGGCCAAAACTCGGTAGACTTTCGAGCCTTAGTCGACCCCATTGTGGGTCCCAGTTTGCTCGGCCCGCCCACACTCATGCTCAGGGCGCGGACCATTCGTCCCAAGGTCACCTCCACCTAGTGCTTTAAGATGGATGGGGGTGGGCCATCGCGCGAGACAGCTTTGACATTGGGGATGTAGCTCAGCCCTCATGCCGGGTGGTAGTCTCGCTGGTCGTTTCCGCAACGCTGATTTTTTTTTATTCTTTATTGTGTTCTCAAGCAATTGCTCCTTCCAATTCGCAGGCAGCCCAAGGGTTCTTTGAGTGTTTTCTCTTCTCTTGTGCGTAGGCTAAGCGTTATCCTTAGGCCACGCACTATTTCCCTAAGCATTTTGGCTATATGGCGTCATCGGGGTGCGGCGGGGCCGTCCTCCCCCTCGCCTCTACGCATCCATCGGATCTCACAATTTGCTTCCCTCCTTATTAAAGTAGGCCTCTTAGTCTTTTCGGGGTCCTCATATGCATGCACAGACAACATCACATTTTCCTTGGTACGATTGCACTCTCAATCACACTTCCAAGTCTCAAGTGCAAAAGTCATTTTCATGAATTGGCTCTATGTCAAGGGTCCCATAGCCCCTTTGTCTCTCTTCCCCTTCCCTCTTGGTGCCCAGTTCCTCTCGCCCTTATCCCGCTCAAGGCATTTCTAGCCATTACTCACCTGCACAATCCCACACAAGCAAGAAGATCCATACAATGTCCCCCATTCGGGTCAACACATAACCCTTCCCACATGCCTATTTTTTCCATGCTCTTTGGCTGTGCTATGTTCCCTTCTTGTTGTTCAATCAGCCCATCCTCTTCTCATAGTCATGCGGTCGGGGAAATGGTTGAGTCAAACTGACCTCTTTCTCAACTTATGCTTCTTTCTGGATCCCGCCTTTCTCCCACTTTTTCAAATGTCTTCTCTCTTTTGCCTCCTTGGTGGCACAAGGGACCGACTATCCTTCCCTTGCCCTCTTTTTTCACCAAGTGAAGTCTGATTTCGTTAACCGTCCGTACCCTGGCAATGTTTCCAAGTGAGGGGAGAAGGGGTTAGTCATATGGCAAGTGAGGGGGAGGGAGAAAGGGGGCAAGGCGAAAGAAGAGACAGAGTGGGGGAGGGAGAGGAGAGAGAGAGAGAGAGAGAGAGAGAGAGAGAGAGAGAGAGAGAGAGAGAGAGAGATTGAATAAGTATATCTTGGAATAACTTGACAAGGAGAGGCTAGACCAATGGAAAACACATTATTCATAGGGAAGGAGATC